GGTCGTGTGCCACTCAAACCCAAGATTGCGTTTTTCAGCGACGTCAGCAACGTCCTAGAAACAGGACGGGGGAACACAAGTACGCGACGCCAACTGGAGCAGCCGCTACAGTAGCCAGCAGTAGCACAAGGTCATCCAAAGAGCAGGTGGCCGCTTATTGAATGCATTCTGCAGTATAGAGTGTGCCCCTGGGCATCGTGTACACAATTACACCATCATACGAAACGACTGACAACAACCAAAACAAGTGCTGGGATTTCAAAGATACTGCAGAATTCGAGCAATCAGGGGCTTGGGGGAACAACAGAAAGCGAAGCAGGATACAGGAAACCTGTCACTCGATTCTCGGGTGGATTAAGCACTCAACTTCTCGAGCCCACTGCTTCTACCTGAAACGCCACGTACTGCTAGCGGGAGGTGCTTTTCCTTTCGAGGGGTGGCGTATGTGCGGTATATCAAAAATACCTTCAGCGCCTGTAGCAGAGGCGGGCCAACGATATCCCGGAGGACCGACCAACATTCATAACGGGCTGCGAATCTTGGCCGGTCCTCCCGGGCGTCGTGGGCCCGCATTTGCTACAGGCACTAAAGGTGTTTTTTTATTCCGCACAAACGCTTCAGCTGCGGCGGATGTTTTCGAAGGAACTTTGTGTTCCAACAGGGAAGCACCAGTCAGGAGATTTTTTGCAAGAGAAGAAGAGAGAGAGGGAGATAAAAAGGCGGGGGAGGGGGGGAGCACTGCACCGCTGCCTCTGCCACTGAGCGCCCATTCGTCATCGCCGTAATTTACGACCGCGCTGCTGTCAAGCGCGGGGAACCCAACCCTTTGTACAAACTCCTCGGTGTCGGGTGAGTTTCCCCGTGTTGAGTCAAATTAACCCGCAGGCTCCACTCCTGGCGGTGCCCTTCCGTCAGTTTCCTTTTTAAGTGCCAGCCTTGCGACCATACTCCCCCCGGAACCCAAAGACTTTGATTTCTCGTAAGGTGCTGACGGAGTCCTTAAATTGCAGAGCACCAGCTCGCCTCCCTGGTGAGGTGGAGTCGAGCAATGCAGCGACAGTCGTGAACCGAAGGTTTGCAAGGAACGGACAGGACAGGTCGTTAGTTCTTGACGCACGGAGTTGCTGGAAACTATTCATGCTCTTCCACGCCAATTGCTCCTTTCCACCTCTATTTGGCATATGTCGCCAACATCATGGACCAATCAAACCCTCAATCACAAAGTACCGGAGGTGCCTCTCCCTGTTTGCCCGCGGCGTTTCCATCGCCCTCGGCACGGTCACCGGCTCTTCCGAACCGCGGGGGCTCGAACAGCACCAGATCGCCTCCCTGATGAGATGGAGTCGAACAACGCCGCGAAAGTCGTCAACCGAAAGTTTGCAAGGAACGGATAGGTCGTTAGTTCTTGAGACACGGCGTTTGAAGAACATGAATTTGTTCCTCCAGCAACTCCATGTCTCAAGAGCTAACGACCTATCCGTTCCTTGGAAACCTTCGGGTCACGACTGTCGCTGCATTGCTCGACTCCATCTCACCAGGGAGGCGAGCTGATGCTCTTCCAGCCCCTGCGGTTCGGCAAAGCCGTTGGCAGTACTGAGGGTGATGGAAGCGCCACGAGCAACCAGGGAGAGGTACCTCCGGTACGTTGTGATCGAGGATTTGATTCGTGCATGATGTTAGGGACATAATAGAGGTGGAAGGGAGCCGTTTTGGCGTGGAAGAGCATGCATTGTTTGCAGCAACTTCATGTCTTGAGAACCAACGACCTGCCCGATCCTTGCAAACCTTCGATTCGCGACTTTCGCCGCATTGCTCGACTCCACCTCACCAGGGAGGCGATCTGGTGCTCTTCCACTCCCTGCGGTTCGGCAGAGTCGTTGACGGTACCGAGGGCGATGGAAGTGCCACGGGAAACCAGGGAGAGGCACCTCGGGTACTATGTGATTGAGGATTTGATTGGTCCATGATGTTGGGGGCATATGACGACCACAACACACCAACGATCGTGAAGAACAAACGTTTTGACAAGTTCAGACTCAAGACGTCCGTTTTTGTGAGACCTTCGACGCATCATTCCCCGTAAGAATGGCGTTCGTTGCGTGGTGCGAATCGAGTCGCTCTCTTTGGTTCTCGGTTGTGAAAGACGCATTGGCTGCCGCAACGACTAGCGCAGGGTATTGCATCGCCAGGCCCCAAATCATCCCCGTCGTGTTCAATAGGCTGAGCCTTCTTACCTCAAAACCTCATCCCTCGTTTCTCTTGACGCGTCATCCTTCTGTTGCGTTTCGTGCAAAGTGGTTTGGTGTTTAACAACTGCTATTCGCCGCACATGTATGCATACGTCGTCGATGAAACAACCGAACCGTGTTGTGATTACCGCGACCGGGAAACGGCGGTTTTCGCCAAGCGGAAACTGGACGCAACATACGAAATGGGCGAGCAGTTTCCGCGGAGTGGTTTCGGGACAGCCCCACCGATGGCCTGCTTGATGGCACGGTGTGCTATTCACGCCCATGTATACGTCGGTCTCGCGATTTCCAACCCGTGCGCTGTTTGCCGACCGAGATGCATATGTTCAGCGATGTGCATGAGTTGTTGTATGCATTGTAGTTCTGTTCTGATGCGGTTTCCTTCTTTTGGGACATCGTCCCCTTGCTGATTTTGCTGTTTCTAGCCTTCTTCGGTCCTGAACTCCATTCTGTTTCTCGCTGTAGCTTGTTACTGTAGTTTGTCCCAGTTTCTTTAACCTCCATTTGTCACACCAGTAGCTTCGTGCTGTCGTCCTGTTCTCTAGTTCAAAGTTCATCCGTACTGTCAGTTCCATCATTACGGCATAGAATGTGCCGAGTAGAGGTCGGACAAAATATAGAGTTGGAACAGCAAGCCCCCCCGCCGTTTCCCGCGTTCTGCCCCATGCGCTTCTCCGCTTTGTCATCGGCTTGGCAATCTTCGCGTTCCACGACGTCTACCAGCAAAACCCCAAGCCATTGTGCTCCACGAGGCGCCAAACGCGATCGTTGCCGGCGTGGCCGGTATGTTCTGTGCAACGTCCTACCTCCCGGTGGCCGTGCCGTGCCTCCCCAACTACCGTGGGTCATGCACGGGGGATGGAGTGACAAAGGACCTGTGAGGGTTTTGTTTGGTAGAGCTGCGCTATTCGTGCGCTGTCTACCCGTCTCTTCCGTTGTTTGGCTGCTCTCTTTTCGTCGTGTTTTGTTTTTTCTCGATCCCTTCACTTTGGCTAATGTCAGTGCTGGGCAGCCGGAAACTCCGTTCGATGCGCACTGAGTGCCTTGGGCGGCACCCAGGACGAAGCTGCCGGGTCGTTTACGGTACGCGGGGAGCAGCCCACAGCTGCTCTCGGAAGAGGGGAGGGGCAGACGGATCTGAGATGCAGAGAAGCCCACGAGCTCTGGGTAATCACGTTTGTTTCACGCGGGATCGGATGGGAATGCTCATCTCTCGTACTTCACGGCGGTATCCCGACTCACTTCGTTTCGGTTGACGATGCTTGTTGGGTCTTGTCTCATTTTCCTTCGTCACTGGGGGCACGTTGGGGACGCAGGCTCATACTGTAGACGGCGCGGTTGAAACTTCCCAAGTTCTCAAAGGGTCGCCTTGATTTCTACTTGAATGTCTACACCAGACATGAGAAAGGGACAATTTTAGCTCGTCAACCACACGTTAGTCGGGGCGATGAGTAGAAATTCCATACAGTGCTATCGTTTCCACGCGCACGCGAGGAATGAGTTGGGGTTCTTGTTCTAGACAAAAATATCCACTCTTGCCTCGTACCCTTGCGCATCACGCGCGTCTGATGTTGTCCACCGCTGCTTTTCACCGCCCCGGCCATTCACATATTTCCGTCCAGTCCGCGGCCAATGACGAGGTGCGGGATTAATGGCTGAAGCCGTGCACCGCCGGGAAAAAGCGCACGACGCGTCCGATCGGAGAATGTCCTGGGTACGCTTTATCGTCAGTCGGCAGTCGGGGTTATGTATACTACTGATATGTATTGATTTGTCGTACCCAACCATCACCCTGGTATCGACCACAAGTCTTTGGTGCAACCGTTAGTAATCTGCCAGCCCATGTACCGGTCGCGATCCTTCACTTATCGTGCACGTCGGTAGGGCCGTCCACTCCTTCTTCGGGACAACCAATCTGTCTCTTGTGCAAGTTGTGCTGAGCTCGTTTAGCATCCTTCTGCGAGAAGAATTGGACTGCCCTACCGGCGTGCACGATAAGCGAAGGATCGCGACCAGTACATGGGCTTGCAGATGCCCAACTTTACACTGCGGTGGGCCTACACGCTACCACAACCCTGCGGGGAGAATGAAGGGAGCGGTTGCACCAAAGACTTGTGGTCTGATGGTGGGTACGACAAATCAAAACATATCAAGTAGAATACATAACCCCGACTGCCGACTGACGATAAAGCGTACCCAGGACATTCTCCGATCGGACGCGTCGTGCGCGCCAAGGCAAGACAACGAGATAACACAACAATGGTGCAAACACAATGCTAGGCACAAGAGTGACAAAATCCAATGCGTGCGGTAACAGGACTGCAACCAGAAAAACCTCAGTCGGCACGACCCGAAGAGTTTCACCTACCATTATCTCTCGCTGTACATCATAGTGGGTTCTAACTACTCGTCGTGCAGTTGCAGCCACCGGAGGAGGAGCGTTAGAGAAGCCCGACGAAGAAAGGGGGGGCTCGGCAAACGTTTGTTTCGCTCGAGTTGAAGGAAAGAAACATGGGGAGCGGCCGGGCGAGAAGTCGTTCGTTCTCTGTGTGGCATCTTTTAGGCCAGAAGGGCGAGGGGGTCTTTTCTTCACCGCCCCCAACCGCCAACGGCGTGGAATTGGGAGACCGGAGAGGAAAGTGGCAAGGGCAGGCTGACGCGAAGAAGAGCAAAGCTGGCATGAAGCCAACGAATAGATGTATTTGCACATGGTTTTTGATTTTTTGTGATCAGTGTTGGGTGTACTCAGCACTAGATACGGATATACGGAGACCTAGGGGGTTTCGTGTATCATGTTGGTATGTGTTACTGGAAGGGCGTACCCCCTTCTGGTGTGCAGGGTTTCTTGCCCTGCTGTTCACTTACTGGTAACACAAGGTCTTGAGTCAACCTTCTGCCCACAGCCCCTGACGGTAAGCAGCCGCTACCCAACACGATATATCGTGTTGGGTAGCGGGTGCTTTCCTGTATTTTCGGCCTGCGGGTCGCTACATTTGTCTTTCGGTGCGTTTTCGATGCTCTGAACCACCGTTCTTTCTATGTTTTCGGCCTGAAGGCCACTAGTTTTCTTTCGGTGCGTTTTCAACGGTTGGAACCACCGTTATTTCTGCGTTTTCGGCCTGCAGGCGCTATATTTGTGTTTCGGTGTGTTTTCGGTGCTCGGAACCATCGTTCTTTCTGTGTTTTTGGCCTACGGGCCGGTATATTTTTCTTTCGGTGCGTTTTCGATGCTCTGAACCACCGTTCTTTCTGTGTTTTCGTCCTGAAGGCCACTATCTTTTTCTGTCGGTGCGTTTTCAATGGTTGGAACCACCGTTATTTCTGCGTTTTCGGCCTGCAGGCCGCGATGTTTGTGTTTTGGTGTGTTTTCGGTGCTCGGAACCACCGTTCTTTCTGTATTTTTGGCCTACGGGCCGGTATATTTTTCTTTCGGTGCGTTTTCGATGCTCTGAACCACCGTTCTTTCTGTGTTTCGGCTTGAAGGCCACTATCTTTTTCTGTCGGTGCGTTCTCGATGGTAGGAACCACCGTTACTTCTGTGTTTCCGGCCTGCGGGCTGCTATGTTTGTGTTTCGGTGTGTTTTCGGTGCTCGGAACCACCGTTCTTTCCGTGTTTTTGGCCTACGGGCCGGTATATTTTTCTTTCGGTGCGTTTTCGATGCTCTGAACCACCGTTCTTTCTGTGTTTCGGCTTGAAGGCCACTATCTTTTTCTGTCGGTGCGTTCTTGATGGTAGGAACCACCGTTACTTCAGTGTTTCCGGCCTGCGGGCTGCTATGTTTGTGTTTCGGTGTGTTTTCGGTGCTCGGAACTACTACCGTTCTTTCCGTGTTTTGGGCCTGCGGGCTGCTGTCTTTGTCTGTGGGCATTCCGTGCTCGTGGAGCGTGCGAACAACGTTATTGCCGTGCTGCTATCAAGAATAATGGGGGAGGAGAGTGTTGTGCCATGATCCTTGTAGCAGCACGAGAAGGTTTCGCGTATTGCACATGTTTTAGGAATGATAAACGACTCCTGGTTACTGGAAAGGGCCTGTGGGCTATGGGGGTAAGACTCATGGTTTTCTATGGGGCTTTTTGGTGCCTCGTGATTCACAACACGAGGGGTTGTTTGAATTCCGCTGAAAACAACAAGGGTATTTTAGGGTTCATTGAAGAATGTGTTTTGGTGTGCAATTGCTGTTAATATATTTCTCCGCGTTTTACGTGGCGAAGTGATATTCTCCCCCATTATATGTTTGCATTTCCCGGGGCTGTTGGACATATTTTCGTTGATATGCTAAGCCGCAACTACTGATGAAGATTTTCCCTGATGTTTCCCGACGAATGGATTCTTTACTCGTTAGTAGAGGCTGGTTTTTCACTTAATATTTATTCTGGAGGAAGGATTTGGCATGTATTGGTAAGCAATGGTTGGAGTCTTTGTGCTTTCCGAAAGGCTCATTGTGTTTCTTGGTCAATCAGTTAAAACCTGGTTTTGTTTGAGGATTTTTGATACTTCCTGAGGATAATTTCTTGTGTTTTGACATCTTGAGACGTAGTGGGAGTACTGTCTTGAGGGGATATATTGTTCACTGGTACTATATGGGTAAAGGAAAATTATTTGACGTTGAAGACTCAACGGATTTCGGATTATGGAATTATATTAGGAAATCAATGATTTCGGAGGACAACGTTATCTTGGGAGATTTGTTTCGAATTGGGACGATGGATTACCTATATTTGAGATTTGAGGTTGTTACGGCCAAGTTCCGCCATAAGAGGAAAAGAAGAGTAGATCTTATCTAGTACCGAGGAGGGGGGCTGTTGGGTGTACTCAGCACTAGATACGGATCTCTACGGAGATCTGGGGGTTTGTTATCATGTTGGTATGTGTTGCTGGAAGGGCGTACCCCCTTCTGGTGTGCAGGGTTTCTTGCCCTGCTGTTCACTCGTTTTTAATACAAGGTCTTGAGTCAACCTTCTGTCCACAGCCTCTGACGGTAAGCACCCGCTACCCAACAGTCAACGCTGACCCAACCATCTATGTGTTGTGCGGAAGCTTGTTTAAATACCAGTGGTCTGCAAGCCAAATGCATGCGGGCATTTTTCTTTCGTTTTTGCGTCGCATCATCCCCGCGCCCCAAGGATAGGGACAATCTCCGACTCCTCGGCCAAAACCGCAACGCACATCGAGGTGAGCGACTGTGGCGCCAAGGAGTCAGCGGTACTGTGAACGATCCAGAACTGGTGGATATTAGGAATGAATGAGGTAGCATGTGTCGTCGTGAGACCAACTGGTCGGTCGTACTTCCGACGTTCCATGATTCGCTGGAAGCCGCCTCGTGCGACCGCCACATGCATGCGCGGTGAGCGGTCGAGGGCGTGGATTATGGCGCGAAGGCTTCAACTAGAATTGCTTCATTCGGATAGGTCGTACGTCGTACTTGGAAGGAAACTCGCGATTCATCTTGCCCGCCCTCTCTGCGACGCTCAGGATCGGAATACAAGAACGATATCAACACTCAGAGTGAAAAGAGAGGCCTGCGTACTTGACAACTGTCAACGCCGTCACGGTCTCGCTTGCATCCCCTACGACTTAATTGTTATCGATTGATGAACGTACTCAACACATGTGTACCAAACAACAGTCAGCGTGGTTATCCCGCGTGGAACATGAGCTACGGTATGAAGTGCTTGCGAGTGTTGTATGTTCTAACGTACTACAGCTGAAACCGAGCATTGGCCACGGTTAGGATTGCCCCAACACAAGAGTTTCTCGCGTGGCAGCCCTCTCAGCAACGGCAAAGGTTCGGCGACGACGCAAGTCTACATATATCTTTACACCCACATAAATGGATTTTGCACTATGGGGGCAACAACAAACACCAAAGGTTCGTCGCCAAAGTTGCCGGTCGGCAACAAGCAGCTTTCACAACTCACTCCATGAAACGAATGAACACGCGGGTGAGACACGACCCCTAACGGCCATGATGATGTTGTCGTGCACCAGAAAAAATGAAATTCAGCAAGCTGCCGCACAAGATTAGTTGCGGTGGTGCTGCGCTGCCTCCATCCAAAGAAGTTATCGCCCACGGGGCAACATTAGGGCCCGTCCGCGGTAGCGTGGTTAGGATGTCGTTTGCATGTAGCCGGAGCTCCACAGATAAGATCGTTGTCCGCGACAGCATGGTAGGCGTGTACGTCTGTACTCTGCCGTAAGAAAACAAGTACGGAGAAAGAGAAAGAGGCACAATGTAAACAGGCTGCGCAGCTGCGCACCAAGAAATCGCGGACAAATCGCGCACTGAACGTAACAAAATACGCCGCAGGTGATCATCACCTCTCTTGAGCAGAACGAATGTATGTCCCGTGGTCTGCGGAACGATGTCCGTGCGTCCTCTTCATATACGCGGTGGGTCCACATCCTCCGTCCTAAGGTTGCACCACGCGTCGGGAGAGAACGCCCGGTGTCCTCTGATCTATCCGCAGTGAAGCAAGGATGCGAGTTTTTTTTTTGTGTTTCGTACGCGACATGTCCATCGTTCTCGGAACTCTGAACGAATACTGTAATTTTCGAAGCGTCACACGGCACGTGGAACTATTTACATACATTGTATACTGCTCCGAAGTAACGCCGTGACACGTGTTTCACACCGCACGCAAGTTGAACCGGGAATAAACTCCGTCTGCATACTACGGATATAGCATTAGTAGCCCCAAAGCCGGTGCTGGTTCATGAACGCTGGATTGGCTCGATGTCTCAAGTACTATCTTCCGGAGCAGGCAGCAAGTTGTTGGGCGCGGAACGCCGGGCAGCAATCACCTGAGCAAACAATTCGCACAGCAAGATATTATGCGCCTCATCCCGCGTTCTCCAGAACAGGAAAAAAAAACGTTCATTTCGGAAACACGGTCTTTTTGGAACGATGTGAGACCATCTGTCCCACACCTGTTTCCTGTTTCACACAAAGCCGTCTTTCACCCTCCGACACGTAGAATAAAGTGCGGACCTAACCTGATCAACAAGATGAAGATACTCAAGGGCGGGGGACTGATGGTGAGCGGCTTCGTTCGGTAGACGCGTCTTGTTACACACGACCTAGCATGTCATTCGTTATATCGCAAGCACATGTTGCATGATACACGCGCAGTTTCAAGCTGTGCGATTCGACGCGACCCTATAAAGAGTTCCATCTTGGTCTGTCTCGCGAGAAAGAACGCTTGGCACTCGGCATGTTGCTCAAGGCCTGGCTTGCACATGTGTACTACTGTACCGTTACATTTACTGACAGCAACACCATTTACTGACAGCAACACCTGCTGTTTCTCCCGATGTTCGCGTGCCCTTTGTACGTCTGTAGTACTCTATCAGCGCGCGTTGTGTTCACAAAAGAGATGGTACACAACACGATGGGAGGCAGCAGTCCGGGGTTCCATTGTTGAAGTCTTTGCAGTGAAGAGCCAATAACGACGACCGCCGGATACTGGATTTACACCATCATTGGAGTAAGTACGCGTATAATATTGACGTCTGAAATCACCACGCCGGCACTGCGCCGTTGTCGTGCTTTGTTTCCTGTTCTGGATCCTGCTCAGGTTCTGATCTACATGTGGCTTCTTCCGCTGCTATTGGTGAAGGAGCTCGTGACGGCTCAGACGCCAGCGCCCATCGTGCCACAGTGTAACGCACCCATAGCCAACGTCGTGCTCGTCCATGGTATACTCGGCTGGGGTCCCGACGAAGTCTTTGGTCTTCCCCATATCAAGCACGGTCATGTGCTGGAGGATAGCGGCTGCTTCAAGGTTCACACGGTAGCGCTGGTGATCCTCGGAAGCAACCACGATACGTGCGCTCAGCTGCACGCCCAGCTGGTGGGCGGATATGCCGACCATGGTCTTGAACACAGCACAAACATCTCCGTCCAGCACGACCGCTATGGAGACAAGAACTACACAGGGTTCATCCCGGACTTTCTGGTGCCTGGCAACATGAGAACGTACTTCGTGGCCCACTCACTGGTGAGAACCTTTTTCCCTGGTCTTGGACCGTACCGTATCCTACCGCTGCAGCAGTACCATGTTTATTTTGGGCGGACATGGAGATGTTCAAAACGGTTACGGGGTTGGGAGATACGAGAAAGAGTTTTCGGTGGCAACGCCATACGGCGGTGCTTTGTTTTTCGGCCGTAGGCGGTTTTGCGTTTTTTGGCGGTAACGACGATTGGCGGCGGCGACAAAACCAAAACATGGCGCCGATTCCGAGGCGGTAATGTCCTCCGGCGACAAGTGCTTGATGGAGTGGAAGGGGTTTTCGTTTCTCGAGTAACTACATTGAGTATGTTTGGAGGACGGACGCGGTTAAACTGCAAACGGCGGAAATGTCGCGGTTGGAAAATTACGTGTACATGACATATCCCTCGTTAACCAACAATCAATCAAAGTGCGTCAGACCAACAACGAAAGAACCAAAATCGAGAAGAGAGAATTAAAACGAACAAACAGATGCCGAAAACAACTTCACGTATGGCATCGAACTCCATCATGTGTTATTTTCAAACATTGTCCGCATCGTGGACGAGTCGAGGATTCTGCCCACTCAGCCACCATCCGACACCCTACCGTCCGCGGCAATCTACTTTGACATGGGGTAGCAGGTTTAGGCGGTAATGTCATGCATCGAAAACGGATAGATAGTACATCACGGTAGTGGTGTTGTGTTCGGCGGTAGGGAACGACTTGGACAGCGGCCGAAAAACCTATATACATCTCGTCAATCACCTATATTTTCAGCCAAGCGACAGTTTGTACGGCAGCTGGGGGCCGTGGGAACACCACCCAGGGTACACAGCTTCGTGCTCAATGGAGGCGTTTTCAAAGAGTCGAGCGGTGTCGGAGATTATCCGTCTACAACACCGCCGAAGTGACGCTGTGTGACTAAATTCTCTGGGCGTGTTTCGGCAACCACATGTCGGTCTGGGTCAAACGACGGCTTGTATATGGCGGCTGGGCCCCCGGTAACACAACGCAGCAGTAATTCTTGCCCATTTTTGATGTGTTCGAAGGGTTTGAGTGGTGCCGTAGACAAGCACTTATAACACCGCTTTTTTATGGGAGCGGGAAGTTGCAAAAATGCTGCCAGTCTTACAGCAACTTTGGGTCGGAAACAACTTTTGATCGGGAACTTTTGTCAATTGAACTTTTGGTGCACGCTCACTATGGGACGAAGAAAGTTTTGTGCACGGGACTGGCGGAATGCGGAGGTGTGATTTTTTTTTTCTTAGCAACGGCGAGGAGAAGCGTGCACACTATGTACTTCGTATCACCCCGCGAAGAAACGGGCCAAGAGCGTGCGGGAGAGGGTAGTTGGAACCCTTTTTTCTCCACACTCACTCACAATACCCCAGGGCATCCAACCTGGTACCAGAAAGAAAGATGCTGGGTAGAGCTACCTCCCTCCGAGTGGCGTTGCTGTTGCTGTTTGCGTCCTCCGTCGAAAAGTTATCGCTGGAAAACGAAACCATGAGCACACAATCCCCGCGAACTTGAACCAACCGCTCTCTGACGTGGGTATTCTAGGGTCAACCAATGATTTTTGTCCCGACGCGACGTGAACGATACCCCAAGGCACCAAACCTTGGGCATGATTGATGGAGCAGAGAGCCACCTCCCGCCGAATGGCCTTGCTAGTGCTGTTGCTTCCTGCTTCGGAAAGGTATCGGTAGAAAACCAAACCACCACCCGTGGCTGTCAAAAACACCCAACTGGAACTAGCCGATCGCGGCCGTTGACGGTCGTCCGGCGGCAAAAACCTCTTCGGCACCTAGCGGCGCCAAACCTTGGCACCGCCCAACAGTCCATCGTACAGTATCACCTCCTCCCGGATACCATTCATGAACCAACTCGTTAGGTAATCGTCAAGATATCGGTGAACACAGCCCTCGTAATCGAAGCTGGAGACGGGGTCTACGTGTGTGGAAGGGGTAGCAGCTTGACGTGGATTCGCGGCAGTCTCGCCGCGTAGCGTTTGCTCGAAACCTTCGTCGCGACAAAACCTGCATTTCCGGAGAAAAGGTTTCAAAACTTTTTCCGCAGCTTTTTTCGCCCATAGTGACCGTACATGAAAAAAGTTGCGCAAAAGTTTGGGAACTTTGATTTTTTCGTAACATTCCGTTCCTAAAAAGGCGATGACATTTCCGTTCTTCAAAAACAATGCCCTGCAGAAAGTACTTGGTTCTCTTCCCGCGAGGAGTGGCGTTCGAGATCCCAGATCGATCCCCAGTCGGTTGGTTTTCTCTCAGACACATAATTGTTGAATGAGCATCTCCCGCCACAGACTAGCCAAAACGATGTATGTAGTTAAGCAAGGGTCCAATGAAGACGTTCGTCAGCAGAACCGCAGACGTAGTGACCGACATCCTTTTCAGAGAGCCCTCGATTTGTTGCGACACTATGCTCGTCAGCCGGAACTCGCGTGGATTCCTCTCTATGCTGTTCTACATCAACATGTGGGATGTCCTCTGGTCGCTGGAGCATGGATTCAATACTGCCCGGCAACACGATGTACCGCAACGGCGATAGTCCCCGAGGACAGATGATCATGGAGGTTGCTCCAAACCATAGCATCATCCGATCGCCGCATCCATCTCAAAAGCCTGGCAATAAATGAGCCGGACCGGGCTTACTCCTCTCCGGAGGGAGGAGCGAGGGACGTTTTGTCTAAGCGCTCCCTTATAGCCTGTTGATCGCCGAGAGCTTCATGTACATTTGTGCACACTGTCGAAGCAATAAGCAAGCACATAGAGAGGAAACGTTGGGTAGGGTGGCACCAAATGCCACCATCCTTTTTGTTTCATCAGTCGCCGCCAGGAGGGGGCACCCTCAAGCTCAACAGAGTCGCTTCCTCTCTTCGGTTCAAAATTTGTCTCAAAATTTAACATGCAGGTCACGGCACATATTTCTGCACCGATGAACGAAGTAGACAGGATAACAGCTTGCAACGCATGTGTGTGCGTTTTTTTCCTATGTACTATGGCGACAGTCCCCCCATTTATCATGGTAAGACGTGTACAACACCTTCCAGTGTATTCTCTTTGTACAACTACAACCATCCAGGGTCACACTGGAGGGGGTAAACACCAGGGCTATTTTCTTCTATTTATTTATGTTTTCGTGCCCAACCTTTCTCCTGCGGTGCGGGCTGAGTTTGTTTTTTTTTCACGAGGAGGGTCCAGCCGTCCCTTTCCCTCGTCGACGGTGCTAACGTCGAAGTTTGTTACTAACAAGGGCTTTTCAGCTTCCTTTTTCGCTTTCACCAGCAAAGTTGTAATTTTTTCACCCCGTGGGGTTTTGAAGTTACGACTAGACCACCGAGACGATGGAGTGAATAACCCCAGAAATTGTGGTAAGAACGAGAGACGAAAAGCACCCCCCATATTTCACGGCTACAAGTCGTTTCGCCGACTCACTTTGTTTTCGCCTCGCTCGCCCCAAATATTTCGCCGAGAGGCATCTTTGCATGAGGACCTTTTACTGCATGTGCTCTTCACCGCCGTATGGAATCCGATCCGGTTATTTGTGGATACTACTGTAGTGTGCGTGTGTCTGTGGTTTTAGAACAAATGTCGTAGACAGTGCACCCAAGGTCTATTATGAGCTCGGAGAAAGGGAAACTACTTGTTCCCTAACGGCGCCCGATTCGATCGATGCTCGTGTGTTGGTTTCACCTTCCGCATCTTTGAAACCGGTTACCTCTGCGGTTTCACCCTCAGGGAGCCACGACCGTCCGCCAATGCGAGATCTACTGGCGCGACGGAAGCGCAGCGGAAAAGGCTGCCACTCCGACCGACGACCTGAGCCCCCTGTATCAAGGTGGCCACATCGATGTCGTGAGCGGGCTCGTGTCACTCAATGGCCCCATCGACGGCACGCTCCTAGTGGATGCCTTCGGGGGGCAGTTTTTGGAGCTCCTGAAGAGGGTCGTCTTCATCGTTGAGGGGCTCATTGGCGAAGACCTCGCTGAGCAGGGAATCTACGACCTTGATTTCGACTACCTCGGGATAAACTGCTCCGCCGCCAACGTGTCTGCTGTCAACGACTGCATCGAGGAAATATCATCGTTGCCGATCTACAACGATCCGGAATGGGGCGACCACGCTGGAGTCTCCGGCCTGGAGGGCGCGCAGGAACTCAACCTGCAAGGCGACCCGGTGTCGAACAACACGTTCTACGTGAGCTATGTCGGGAACGCTTCACGCCCCGTCTCGACCGACACGACTAGCATTTTCTCCGGGGCGTATGTACCACAGAGCAGCATGTCGATCTTGCTCTGGCCGTTCTCCCTCCTCATCGGCTGGTATGAGCTCACCGACGATGCCTTCGACGGGTGGCGCTCCAACGATGGCCTCATATCCGTCCAAGGTCAGATATGCCCGCGGCTTGGTTTGGGCACAGACGAATTCTGCGGCGAGTTCACTACAGTCGAGGATATGCAGCCCGGCGTATATCTATCGAAGCACCACACCCTCGACCACATCGGCGTCATCGGCTGGACGCTGGACCCCCTGCAAGTTGCCACAGGGGCCGAGATCTTCGCCGAAATTGTCACTATCCTCCTGGCCATGGATGAAAAGCACGCCGCGAGGCTCGACGATGCCCGGCGCATCTAGCTGGAATGATCACGTAGAGGGTTCCAGGCGTAGCTGGCCGTCTAGGTTGCCAATGTCTCCCCCGTAGCTTGAGCGTGTCCGTAAGTCATCGGGCACTCAGTAAAGGCTACCAGGGCAGCCAGTAACACTAGGAATCAGTGCGCACGACCAGTGTGCGACCAGACAACGGTTTCGCTGTTGATGAGGCATAATTTAGCTGAAGGGATCTAAGTTCTCTTGCGATAGGAATGAGACGGCACGTCTTTGCCGTGGAGTTATTCCTCCAGGTGGTCCAGGTTGTAGGCCCGCAGTTCAGCGAACCAATACCGATGGCAGGCAGGAGCAGTGAGTGGTGGCCGATGGGTTAAGATATATGACGTACCGGGAAGACAATAATATCATAGACAAGACATACGCGAAAGCCAAGGACCATCGTGATATTAGTTCGAACTGCCTCAGGAAAATCCTATTTCGAAGTTGTGGGCTACTGTATAGCAGAGGGTAGAACCATTTCCTGTATTGGCCGATCGTACCTGATTGCGCATGTATTTAGTGTAGTTGTGGATGGCAAGCTGTCGATAGAATAGATGCTGGCAGGGGACAGTTCGAGGTCACCATGATAGAGATACAGCCAAGCCCCGTAGGGAAGTACTCGGACGTTTCGGGTCATTGGCTCTTCCTGTATCTAGCGTGCCTTCGTAACCGTAAAGTAGAGTAAGCTATATTATCGATATCCCGGGTTGACCGACCAGGGTAACTAAGGGTAGAACTTGTTTTCGTGACGACAGATGCACTTAGGTATTGCTTCGAACCTATTGTAGGGTAGACATCCATTCGTGTATGTATGTATGTTTTCGTTTTTCTCGTCGAGTGCGCTCTGGTGTACATTTCATCCGGGAACACTTGAGTCATTGCATGGGAGGCTGAACACGTGTGCTGGCTAGGGAAACGTAGTGGCACTGCCGGGCACGATGTCGCCGTGTATGGGTGTTTATCAGTCACAAGCACCGCTGTCGAAATTTGAAGGACTAGTACAAAGGTTGCAATAATAAATCGATGCGGCTCCAAGCAGAGCATTCAGATAGGTAAAACGAATGAAGACAGCACTTGCCAGAAGGGTACGTGCATCCTGCAACAAGCATCAACGCCAAACCCAGCTCTTGCCCCGCCCTCCCTCCATCATATCCATCCGAGCTCCTAGTTTCACCGATCCCTTGCCCCATACCCCACACGTCTTCCCCAGTAAATCCAGTTGTGTCGCTGCACCTGACGTCGCTCCTCGCCGTTGTGCCCGTCATACCGCCTCGAATCCACCCGAGCTCCTGGCTACATCGAGCCCTTGGCCCTACAAATCCAACCCTCCCACTTGGCTGCGCCCGACATTGTTCCACGCCGAACCCACCCCTTACCACCGTAGTCCCCGTCTTGACTCGATTCTAGCACCCGGTGACCCATCACCCTTGGCCCCCATACCCTATGCCAATTTTTAACCCACCTGCCTGGCTGCGCCTGACATCGATCCTCGCCCAAATCGATTCTTTCCCCCTACCTCTTGCCCCATACCCCAGGCCAACTTCATTCCGCCCCACCACCTATGTGGTGGTACTCACCATAGCTCCTCCTTACGCACTCACTACTTGCGGGGCCCCATCATACCGTCGCGCATCCATCCGACCTCTTGGCTACACCGACCCCTTGTCCCCACCCCGCGTCCGGTCTAGTCCATCCAACTGCCACGCACGGCTGCATCCGACATAGCCCCTGGCCACACCAATCTGACGCCCCGCCCTTCTCCCCGTCACATCGTCGCGCCTCAATTCGAGCTTTGGGCCATACACCCTACCTTGCCCTCTAGACTATACCCCCCAAGCCAGTCATTCCGTCTCACCTCACCTTCCCTCTATAGCACCACCGTGCCTCCATTCAACTCCTGGCAACACTGATCCGTTGCCTACCCCACGAGTTTTCCGTCCCATTCCAGCAACTAATTGTATATAGCGATATTATTATTGTCGGGAAAAAAACGAGTTCATGAAATCCAATACGCCGGGCAGGCTGCTGGTATGCAGTTAGGCATTATGCATACACCTCCGCTACCCTGGCAGACTATAATAAGGAACAACCAGGACAGGGCGCAGGGCGTTGCGCTTGAGAGCACGATAGAGGACTACCGAGCACGATATTCGCCGAGGGATAGAGCCGTTGGCCAACATAGGTGGCCACAACGCACTATCGTTTAGTTTACGTCGTCGGCATGCTGATAACGCCTGAGGGTGCTTCGACTGCCATAACAGGCTATCACCTCGACCACGATAGTCAAACGGAGGGCGAACCATCACCCTTACATTGCGTAGCTCCCTGCACTACGTTACCGTTAGGACATACGAGTACCGAACGCGAATCACGTTGCAGGTTTGAACCGGCATGCTCTCTCAATCGCTACTCTAACCTCCGACAAGACGGGAGAGGTTTGGTGCCGATAACAACCCTATTCCCAAAGCAACTGTTTGCACCACGTGCCTCGTCTGTTCGTCTTCTTGCTTTGGCTACAGGCGTGGCCAGCCTGCGTGTGTCTACTCCAGTGGCATCGACCGTGCCACGGCTGACCAAGGACAAATCGATGCTGTCAGGGTCACAAGGATAAATCGATTGTGTCCGGGTCTATGAGCTGTGATTCCACTTGTACGCACGCCTGAAATCGGGCAGAGTCTACAAGTACACCATGGTACATCAGACGCGTAGATCTAGGCTGGTCTGCAACTTACTGTCGGTTCATCGGGCATTGGAAAGGGGTATTTCATCTGTCTCTTTTCCAAATTTTGAAACTGATACATACACATCGCGTGCACGGTTACGCTAGGAGCTTTGCATCGCACTAACTAATTACGCATCTTTGCTTGCACACAAAAATTGAGACACATTTACGGCGTCTAGGTCGTAGAGAGCCATGCCTTGGAGTGCAGCATGGGTATCGCTTGGTCCGGAGATGGCATGCACACGATGCTTAGGCGGTACGGAATGAAGAGCATGCTGGACCCGCTTTCGGTAACAGGTCTCGGCATTGTACTGAACAAAGTGCATGGCCATGTGCTGTTTCCGTGCCTTCTCCTACCCAGGAGAGGCCACCTCGAGGTCGAAGACATGCTCTCATCCATCAACGTCTAGGGTGCTTTGTGCTGCAATACATGTGTGATATCTGTATTACCATCGAAGCCTCGACTGCGGTGTGACTCTGCTACTGCTGTATTCCAAAATAAACAAGGCGATTGTGCTTTGCCGCCACTGCCAACACTACACCACCAAACAATCAAGCACTGCGTTAAGTACCTTGTTCGTAGCACTCCGGCAGCGAAAAACCAACACCCTCCCCAAAAGGTACCATGTTTCAGGTGTGAGCTACCGGCTAAAAACTGTACATTCAAAGCCAAGGCTACTTTCACGGCCTCGTGCCCGTGGACAGCCTCTTCAAGCGACTTTCCCATCGGTTGAGGCTGCCGCTGGCCGCGGCGGCGGCCGTGGGGAAACAGCCCTTCGCTCCGAATTCCGACGGGAAGCCTGTGACTCCCCTCTGGTGTGTCATGAATCGAGTGGTGGTCATCGCAGTGGATTCCGTTGCCGCACTCTTGCTCCACTACTGCTGCTGTTGCCATGGCCAACACTCGTGGTTTCTGCTGCCCACGAGCTTAGCTCCACCACCTCTTCACCGCTCACGGAAGACACGTCGTACCCGCTAACCTGCGAGTCGATCAAGGTGAACGAGACGAAAGATATCATGTGTCAAGGCCAACGAAAGGTTACGCGCAGGGCCCACGCATCGGTAGCCCCACCAGGTGGGTTGATGTATGCAGAGAGGTACACAATCCGGCCCCTAATGTTCTGCTGAGTCAGAATGGGCAGGATGTCTTAAGACAATTTGTGTCTTATTACGTTATAAATACTGTAAAGAATGATGCACCGCTGAGCTAGGTTCGGCATGATTACATCATACCCGTATTGTTCCTATTATTCCGGCTGTAAGCCTAGCAAGGGCAAGATTCCGTGGAGGTGATTCGCATCAGACATCGTGCCCCTTCGACCGAATATCCTAGCTCGATACTGCGGAAAACACGGAGGTTACCGGGAAGAGGTGTCGGAATCGTTCGCCGAAAGATACGGCCGACGCTGCCCTTCGAATGTAAAATACTGCATCCTGCTATCGGAAGTGCCGAATCGACCCGTGGTGTGTGGTGTCTTGAAGTATGCAATATGCAGCGTGCTACTCTTTGGCAAACGGTGCTTATGTCGAGCCCGTTCGTTGAACGCAGCTAGGTCGCCCTCTGATTGCGTCAACATGTCCAGGGAGAATAGTGCACTGCGCAGCGAGGTAAGTGTTTCGCATTGGGCAGCTGGATGGGCAACACGAATCGCAGCCTGATGTGCACGCTATTCCTCTCCGTTCGTTTCGCGGTAGAAATAGAGAGCCCTTGCCTCAGAGCAAAGCAAGCAGGCATTGTTTAGTTGCCTATCAGGACCCGTCATTTGCACGATATTCAGCACAAGGTCCCCACGTCGAGCCAATGTCGACATACCGCCGGCAGCCGCCACAGCTGTTCAGCCGATCTCACCTCCCCTTCCTGAGTATGCCGACTTTCTCGATGGGCAGATGTGTTCCCGCCCATGCCTGCTTGCGGAACATTGGTCGAGAGCCCTGCGCACTCGTTCGCAGTCGCAACCAAGGCGTTCAACCGTTCCTGGGCGGAGGCCTGTTTTGGTGGAGGCGCAGAGAGAGAGGCAAATCGTCACAATAGTTTGCCGAAGGAGCCGACTCCCGCCAGTTGTGGCGAAGAGCTTCATTTCCGAGATCGGTTTGTCGCATGTGCGTTACCGGCGACCCAACAAGTCTTAGAATGTTTAGGCGAAGCACGTGTGGGTCCTACGTAAAGATATTTAAATCTGCCCTCGCAGCTTGCGTGCCCCGAGAACACATGGTATGCGTGGCGTATGTTCGCTGAAGCCACGATGCTGGAACTACCGTAAAACTGTAGACTACTTGTACTCTTGTAGCATACGAAGCACCGGTAAGTCCCACTCTCCGTACCCGTTTTCTGCTTTCAACGGCGGTGAGCATCTCGTCGGTTGGATGATTGGTGGTGACATGCCCTGTTGGTCCAGCTGGCAACCTTGTGACGAATGCAAGAAGTAAATGTACTTCTGATACAGGCGGAACGTGTAGAGCGCCTCTTTTCAGAGGTTGTAACCACAGTTTTTTAGGGAGTGGCTGCACCCTTCTCTCATTGAGTAATTAACACACGTTGAATTGCAGATGAATATATCGCATTACTCCGGATGGTACAGATGGCAACACCGCAGGGCACAGGTCGAAACTGCGAGCATGGCCCAAAATTCATGTTCCCGTTCCTGGGATGTTGGGCGGTCGGTCCCCTTGGTAGGAAAAAGTTGCTCTCCCGGCAGAACACCTCTCGTGTAAACAAACAGCACTGCTGTATCTCCAGAGAACAAAACCAAATTGAAAAAACATCGTGTTCGCCTCACACTCACGTTAAACGCCCTCCACTTCTGCTTCAAGAAGCACACCGCGATCAAGGGCACGACCCGGGGTAGAACGAAGCCGCAGGCGAAAGCCAGCGCCCACTCCCTGTACAGCAAGAACACCGCCAGACCTCGAAAGAGTGAGAGGCGCTCGGCGGGAAGGAGTCCGGCAGCAGAGACGAGGTCCGCGATTACGGCCACCATGAAGATGGCCCACTCTGGCGGCTGCAGTCGTGCCGTAATCCCAGCAACTTGTGTTCTGCTGTTCTTCATAATGAAGGCGATGTGTGCAGTGCGAGTGCAACCAGCACGCCGGGAAGCCGTCAAATGCGGAGCAACCCCACGATCTGCCGCGAAGCTTCTCCGGAGATTTGGGGGCTCCGCGGGTACCAAGATACCCCTTTCCACCCTGCGGAGCTCCAGAGACGAATACGAGAGCCGACCACTGACCAGCAGCACAACAGGCCCGCGCAGCAGGCGCCTGCGTGGAACCGTCTCTGCCATCCTGCCTCTATTTTCAGAGTGAAACGTAGTTGGTGTCTACTGTGTGGCTTCCACCAGTGGGATTCCACGCAGCTCTACTCTTTCATTCCTTTTTGGGGGGGGTCTGCCCGGCACCCAGCACTCTCAGCCTGCAATCCTGAGCAGGGGGATACTGCTGTACGGGCGAGGACGAGAAGTTGTGTGTGGATTGCCACCCTAAATCACGACACCATCATGGCGAGCTCTAAGCCCAAGAAGGGCTTCTCCATGTCCTTGGGCAAGCCTAAGCAATCCTCCTCCTCTGCTACGTCGGCCAAGGGACCAGATCGCGCCACCAGCGGCGGCAGCAAGTCTTCCACTTCGGCGATAGGCGTAGCCCACGATGACGAGGACGCAGGGGGGAGGGGAGGCAAGCGGGACTACGTGACAGGAATCGGCGGGGGCAAGGTCGTCACGAAAGAGGTCGTCGTGGACAGAGGCCCCCGCGTTATCGCCCTCGCTTCCAACCCCTGGGCTAACGGCAGCAACGCCGCTGCTGCTGCTACCGGGTCTGTTCCTCCGCCCGCAGCAACGGCAGCCGAACGCCCACCCACGGCAGAAGAGCCGGCAGGCGAGAAATCTCTCGATCAGCTAGCGGCTGAAGCCATCGCCAAGGAATCCGTCCGCGGCGACGGGTCTAGCGCCGACGCCTTTGGGCTAGGCCTCGACTCCGACAGAGTAATCGGCATGATCGGCAAGAACCCTGCCGCTGGCGAAGGCGACAGCAGCAACGGCGCTGCAACGGCGAAGACAACACCCGACGCCGCCGGCAGCAAAAGGAACACTGGCCTGCTGGAGCAGAACATGATCCCCGGGCTGATGGAGGTGGACGGGGAGGACGCCAAGTTTAGGCACGACCTAGGGCATCGCGCGGAGGACTTCAGCGCTCGCAGCAAGGCCTACGTCGACGTTCCGGTCGCAGAGTTCGGCGCGGCGCTGCTCCGGGGGATGGGGTGGAAGGGGCCAGAAGGAGACGGCGGCGGCGGCGGAGTCGGCGGAGGCGGGCCGGATCTGTCCAAGGATATTGAACCTAGGCATCACAGGCTTGGGTTGGGGGCGCAGCCGAAGCCCCCAGAGGAGGTGAGGGGAGAGGCGAGGCAAGAGACGGATCGCCGACGTGTTGTTTGCCATGGGCGAGTCTTGTTTCGGCGTCGTCGTCGCTGCTGGTATGGCGGTGAAGGAACGTCGTGTTCGTCGTGTTGAATTGCTGTGGTGCAGCTGTTGTGGTTTGTACGAATGCCGTGTGTGCATCAAGATGTGCAAGAGCGTCGCGGGAGGGTGGGCTCAGTGTTTTTGCCGCGTCTCCCCTGCCGGAAGAGGGAAGAGCAACGAACGGGTTTGGCACGGACATGAGAACTCTAGTTTTAGTGGCGATTGGGGGATGGGGGGCTCGGGGGGTGTCTGCGGTATGTCTCATCGTTGTTTTCGAGCCACCGATTCCTTCAGGATTTCCAGTGGCCGACGGGTTGACGTCTTGCGAGAGCCGGCATCGCAATGCATGCCGCATGTTGCCCGGGCTCTTCTATGTGACTGTCTACTAGTTGGCACAATGTTCCCTCAGTCTTGCATTTGCACACGAGTAATACCTGATCGTTGTTTGGTTTACCGGAGCTGTCTTCGTCGATACCACACCTGGTACACCAGCGTTGGCCGTAGTACACCTTCGTGGGTACTGACGTGCGTGTTTGCCACGCTTGTGGTGACGAAGTTGTGGGCTTGTTCGTCTGGTTCTGGATTCGTTGCTGCTTTGGCTAAAACTCTACAATCCCTTTCAGAGCATAACGCTGGTAGCCTGTCAGAACACCTACTACAGTTGCCCCGACGTCTTCGCCGCGCGTGACCCCCCCCCCTCCTGACCCTTGTCTCACCGCCGGTTCCGCGATACAACCAAGCCGGTCACCTTAATTATTAATTACCTTTCCGCGTTTGTGTTAGTTGCACGGCGTCATTGCTTACTTTTCTTTCCATCTGCTGCGCGCCTCCGCAAATCTAATCCACAGATGAAACGGCCGCGGACAAAGAAGCCTGGAGAGAAGCCGAGGTCATCGGACGCGGAACGCCTCAAGGTGTGACGTCATTTCTTGATTGCATCGAGGTTGGAGGGACGCACACACCATAACCCTTTGGATCGGTTGACCCTCAACCAGTACCGTTTAAAACAGGGCTACGTTAGTGTCAACCGCATTGTTGGTGTGACGTCGTGCGTACTTACGATGGTCACGAACATACGACATCCAATGGGGTTTCGCGCTTTTCTATCCGTTGTTCAAGCATGAGTGCCGAGGACAACGTTCTCCTGGGAGTTAGTCCCACCCCCAAAAATGCTATTTTCCCCCTCTGCCACTCTCGGGGGGCAGACAAGCAGCGTTGAGGATCGTTCGCCCCCCCCCCCGGTACTCTCTGTCTCTGCGAATCGGCGGTGACCCCGTCCATCATCGTGTCTCCCTGCGCTACACACCTAATCAGATTTGGGAGAAAAAGGTTCAGGAGGAGCGCTTGCGGGCATCACGGCCAAGTGCGGCTGCGCAGCTAGCCGTCATGGACGTAGTGGAGTTGTCGGAAGGAGGGGGAGAGAGGGGCAGGCGCCGGCCTCGAGCGATGGTGCTCAAGACGCAGGGGGTGCCCGGGCTGAACAAGATATCCGTGAGGTATGCTAATCTGGTGGCTACGCAACGCGGGTGTTAGACAAGTAGCCTTGCCTCGAGCGATGAAGTATGAAAGCCCCAACAATGTCAACGAGCGTAGAAACACATGCACCGACCGCATTTCGCGACTAACCATCGCTGTGCATTTGATGGTACCTGCTCATGCAACCAATCGGTTGGTATGTTTGTACGCTGTCATGTGCATCATGGGACTAGCATGTTTCGTGTTCCAGAATCATGTCGTGGATTGAACCTACCGTTCCGGTTGCTTGCTCACTTTTGTGGATGGCGAGGTACGCACGTATCTACAAAACCACACGGTAGCATTGCTCGCTCCATGTTTTAGTGTTTGAATGCTCCATAATGTTCAATTGGTTCTGCTCTTGTACGCAAACCTTTTTTGTCAATATTCGCCTGGTTCGTGGGTATGGTCACCTTCTCTTCTGTACAGGGGGAGAAGTGGGCACCGTTTGTGTCGAACCGGCCCTGTTTGTAGTGGTAGTGCAAAGCAAAGATTTGACGTTTCATTTTCAGCAGAAATAACCATGATTCTCAAGAAGGCGCGCCGTGGCCCGAGTGGAAGCGTGTGTCAAAAACGGGCGCATTGCAGAACCAGACGACCACGCATCCCCTACTCTGCCGCGCCGCCAGGTTGCTCTTCATCATTAGAGCCTCAGTGGTACCGCCGTAACTCTAGGACACCCGATACTTGATAATTCGAGGACACCAACACGAACGAACCTGTTGCCACTGCTGTGTGGCCGCCCACCGTCCAGTGTAGCTCAAGACACCTATCACGACAACCCACCCCTCCAACTTGCTCTGCGGGCCCCCACGTAACTTGGCGCTCTCTCTCTCTCTCTCTCTCTGTTCTATGTTTTTGTTCTGGGTGGAAGACCCGGCCGACCCCCCCCTTCCTCTTTCTCTGACGGCCCCCTCGTATCTTGGTACACGCTCTCTCTCTCCCTCTCTTTCTCTCTCTCTGGTATTTCGTTTTTTGTTCAGGATGGAAGACACAGGCGAGAAGGTTCTCGTGGACAAGTCGACCGCGACGCGCGTTTCCGAGGACGAGTTGGCGCGAAGGCCGTTCTCCGAAAACAAGGACCGTTCTTCCCGCAGCAGCAGTGGCGGCGGGAAGAGGGGCCGGAGTCGGAGTCGGAGCCGGAGCCGGAGCAGCGGTAGCGTCGAGAGGTGGGTGGGCTGCGCGTCGGAGTACTCTGCTCGCGAAGCATCCTCTCGAGGCTTGCGTGATCGGTGTCGGAAAATGATTTCCTTCTTTTCCTCCATCCATGTTCTTCATGTGCCAGCAATATTTTTACAACGTCAGTTTTGTCTCGTCGGATAGTATCGGATCGAACAGTGGCATCGCCTCCCACGGTCGGTGTGGGCCACTTCTCCCGTACTGCTAGGTGCAAGGTTTACATCCGGCAGGGGTGTGCACCAGTGGTGGAGTTGCGTGGTCCGGTTCGACCGGAAGGATTGAAGCGCAAGGTCGTTTTTAGCGATCGCTCTAAAAGAGAAGGCGGGTAGTGCTGAGCAATGCTTGATGTACACGAGCCTAAACTGGAGCTTGTTTGATGGAGGGTGGTACTGTATGCTTGGAACCGGAATTATCTGCGAGTAAAAGCGCCTAGTTGAGAACTCGGTTGATTCAGCGAGGCGCACAAGCACATGCTCCGAGTTAATCGACACACACGTGCCTGCCTGGGAGTTTACTCATACTCGTGCATGCTGTAGTCGTTAGACCATTGACCTCGCATCCCTACAAAGCCGCGGGCACGGAGGTGTTGATTCGCTCACCTACGTTCGCGCTTCGTAGAAAAAACTTGGAAATTCCGTTGCCTTTACCATTCCCGCGTGCGGCTTGTGGCTGCAGGGAAGACGGCCGTCGAGAGCGAAGAGACAAAAAGGACAAGAAGAAGCACAAGAAAAGCGGGGGCAGCAGCAGCAGCAGCAAGCGAGAGCGGAGCAGCGACGGCCGGAGATCCTCCCCGTCACCCCGCCGCCGCCGCTCCGACGAGGAAAACGACCGACACCGCCGACGCGACGGCCGAAGAGACGACGATGACGGGGGGAGGGGACGCCGGGATGACATCCCCGCTAAGAAAAGCCGCCGCGATGATGGGGACAGTGAGAGAGGCCGATACAGCAACGGTAACGCCGGCAATGGCGGTCAGCAGTCCGGGCCGCCGGCCTGGCTGCGAGCCAACATTCGGGTGCGAGTCATCCACAAGTCGTACGGCGGGGGGCGGGCGTATCTGGGGAAGGGGAGGGTGGTGGATGTGCCGCGTGCCGGGCAGGCGACCGTTCGAATGGACCTCGGCGAGCTTGTTCTCGAAGGTGAAGCATACAAAATCAGACCTTGTTTGGCGCGTTTTCGTTTTGTGAAATGCTTCTTGTATGTTTTTTTTTTATGGGCTCAGTCTTTATATACCGTTAACGGTTACTTTTGATCACACGTTTAATGGTAACTTTTCGGAAGTCAATGTCTGTAGGACATGGGAGAGTTACCAATACTGAAGAATGATGGGTCTCGGGAGAAGCTGTCAACACTCCCTCCGAACGCGACCCTTTTCGGCATGAGCACATTTCTTACTGCAGGTATATCTAGTCCCGAAACACGCATCTGTTGCTTTTGCGCCCTGTGGTCGGTACGCTGTCTTGTGTGTTGGGCGCGGGTTTACAGCGGCAGCAACGGCGACACGGTTGGTTTTGTTTTTTAGCCGTGCGACAAGCGTCGCCAGTAGTGCTGGCACGATGTTGCGCACTCGGTGGAGTGCAATGGACTGACGCGTTCCACCGTTTCGCCGAGGGCATGTTGCCGCGTCTTCCACCTTGTAGTCTCTACAACGGATCCATCATCCCGAGTGGGCTCATGAGAGCACGCAGTGTCATGTGATGTAAGATGAAAACTGCTGCAGCCTACCCACAGCTGATTGTCAGCTGCCTTGTGTCGTTTCCCCAAACCTCAACAGGTGACGTTTTTGACTCGAACAGCCCAGCGAACCTCAGCGCGCCGCAGAGTAATTTTTCACAAATCTGTATACATTCTTCATCCCGTTGCACACTACCCTAAACTTGCCCACTTTCTCTTTCTCTGCTGCCCGCTGCCTTGATGTGTTCGATGGCCACGGGGGACTGGTACATTCCAACGTGCACGCAACAGGCGTGAAAGAACGACACCTAGAGACGGTGCTGCCTGCTAGAGGCGGCAAGGTTATCGTCGTCCGCGGTGCGGAGAAGGGGGCCACGGGGAAGCTGCTCGCCAAGAATAAGGAGAAGGAGACGGCCCTTGTGCAGGTAAGGCGGGTGGGTCCCCTGTCCCCCCCGGTGATGGCTTGCGTTGTCAGTGCAGGGCTTGGGTGAATGGAGCCTGATGGGCATCTGTCCACCGGTTGTTGAAAAGTTTTGTTTTTCTCCTGTGGGGATGTGGTTGTTACCTACGGGATTCCTGTACAGAATAAGGCTTACCGTTGCGGATGAAGTCGGAAGGACGACTGTTGGAATTTGGCTTCGCGTTGCAAGCGAAGGATTTGGCTTTTTCTGCCGGTGGAATCGGAATGAATGACTGCTTGCTTGATTTCCTCCGGCTTTGTGCCTAGTCTAGCCTTTCAAGTGTATGGGGGCAGGCCGGTACAGCTAGCTGTGGCAACCTTGGACGGTGGGGTCAGAAGTACCGTTGAAATCCCTACTTCAAAGGCGTTGGACTACCTTGTGGGCGGGCCGTTTGGTACGCGCTGTTCCGTGCTCTTTATTCGCGGAACGTCAAGACTACTCTGTTGTGCTTTGATTGCAAGTCGTCTCTTGCCTCGCATCTGTCAATACCCATTTTCCAAGCAGGTGTCTACGCACATTCGAAGGCCGAGATTTTCTTCTCACATGCATATGCTCGAACGATACACACCTCAAATTGACATTTCGATATCTGCTTGCAGCGTGCGGGCAGCGACTGATCGACCCCGGCCGCCATATGCTTACGCACTCGTGTTTCGCTGCTCTCGGGGCACGTGCCGATTTTTTTCGTTGCTCGCCAGGTCTACGAAGATCTGCGAGCGGTAACACTGTCACTCGACGATGTCGCAGAGTTCACCGGCATGCTCGACGAAGACATGGAAGACGTCGGTTACTGAGCCAAACCTTTGCCACAGAATTCAGGCACCGGATGGATCTGGAGAGGTTGACAGGCTGTCCCTCGTCTGTGTTGGTTCCGGCATTTTTGAACAGTTGAGATCCCGTGGGTTAACTGGTAGCCGTAGCCGGCCCTTTACTCGTTGGGTCACGCTGTCTCTTTGTCGCTTCTGAGAGTTCGGTTCTAGGAATGGGAGCGCAGAATGAGAGGTTCAACATGTGGCGGCGCCTAGCATCGGGCGGTTCCCCCTGGGCGTTAGCTCATTGCGTGCCTGCAACATCCTGAATTTTTCCACGGTTGTCCGCTGGGCTTCCTGCGCCAAAGTTGAGGAAATTTTGACCTCGTCTTGTCGGCACATTCCTTCGTCATCCGGAACACGAAAGGTGTACAGGTTTGCGAAAACATTGCAGATCGACCCGACCTCAACAAGAATGTGCATCGACGACACAAGCACAGGCTTCCATACCAAGCCGGGCACACAGGACAGCGAGTGCGAAGGGGGTGCTTGATCTTCCACCGACAGTTGTTCTTGAAACCGCGCAGGGTTTAGCACGGCTTGGCAGAGTCGAGGCCGGGGGTTTCAAGCGTTCTGTTTTCCTATTTTCACTCTTGGAACAGCTTTGGCAGCTCAAGAAAAAGGGCTTCAGCCGAGGCCGCCCCGGGCTAATATTTTGCCAACATCCACTGTTGGAACAACACCGACAGGTCCCATCCACTCCAAATTAGGTACCACGACATTGCAGTCACATCGCTTGTGGACTTGGGCAAGCAGCCCGTGCGTCACGGCTGGCTGCGAATTTGCTGCACCTCGAGTATACCCTTTGATGCCACGGTGGAAACTATCAATTGGAAGCTTCAACGGATAGACAAGCCCAAATATTGTTGTGCACTTATTTTTTCACGATGACAGCACGATCCCCCTCTCTTTCTATCCATCTCTCTTGAAATGTTTATTGGCGGTCAACTCCAACTGCGACCGGCTGAATAGGTGTTTTCAAGCCTGCCTGGTTGTTCCAATTCCCCCACCGTTCAGGAGCCCCTCCCCCAGTGCTCGCCAAAAGCAAATAACGCCCAAAGCCGTTGGCACCGTACATACTAATGCAGCACCGGTGCCAAAGGCAATTGTTAGCTCACGGGATGCGCCGCCGGAGTCGCTTACCACGATTCCATTGCCCATTGTTGCCGTAAAATAGCGTCCCGGGGCCTTCGGGCAACGCCATACAAAGGACCAACACGACAAATGCTGACAATTCCATACAATTTGACGATGCTATGCTAGAGGAGGAAAATAGGCGGATCTTCCTTTGGCTCTCAACGCCAAAAAACCTTTTCGCAAATGTCTCGGGGGGAGACGCAGATGAGATACTCTCGTAATAGCACGTAGGCCCGTTCCTTCCGGAGAGAGTGGAAACCAACCGAAACACGCCCCAGTGTTGAATATATGATGTGAACGGAAAAGGGCTACCAGTCCTGCTACGAACTGCTACGAACTAATATCGAGCGGAGACCCCAAGCGCAGCAGCGGCGGCTGCAAACTCAACGTCATGGGCGCGAGCTCCAACACCAGCCCTCTTGCCCAAACCAGACAACGTTGACACTCAGGCGACATGCAGCTCTGAGACCGCCACACAACCGAAACATTTGGTAAACATCAATACATATATATCTCTCTGACGCAGGGGGTGCGAAGGAGTATCTTTTATGACGCCCAAGAGACCTTCCCGCCCCTTCCCTCCCACAACACCTACATACACCTACATAGACTTTTCACTTCGCCGAATCACGTCCCGAGCAACCAACGAATGTTAACCTGAAATGCACCCCAATCCCCGATGCTTGTCCCTTCTGAGACGCGAAGAATGCTCCTCTCTAGACCACCAAGAATTGGGGCACAACGGCTACGACGACAACAAGGCCTGCCTCCAGGGGCATCCCTTAATTAACCCTCAACTTCACCCCGGAAACCACTTTGCACAACCGGCGTAATTAAAACAGCACTGACGATGTCGTGCTATTCCTCCAACAAGACACGTCAGGCCGAAGCCAACGACCAGTTCCCCCCGCTTGTAACCCCCCCCCCCCCCCCCACACCCGGGGGGGCGCGGAGTAGAGATTTCCCCCCCCCCCCCCGGGTTATTTGCGCCGCCGCAAACAGCGCTATCCACTGCTGCTGTACCTCTGTACTGCCACAACCCCAAACCTTCGGCACGCCGAGCTGTGGGCTTT